GTTACCACGTCCCTTTCTTGCACCATGACGAATCTCCTCTCGTCCTCGATTATCTCCATTCACCACGATACTAGCATCTCCAGCAACATTCTTCTCCATTTCATTGGTCATACCTTCCTTCAATTGCTTTTCTCTGATACCACTTGTCACGGACTTGAATCTTCAAGTTCACAGTGCGACACTTAGTTCTCAAACTAAGTCAACCTAACTCGAAACTTCAACACAAGAACAAGGAAAGAAGGAAGTAACTCAACACACGAAAGCTCTTTATTGCTCTAGAAAACTCAACTTAATTACAAGGTGAGGATAAATGAAATGGGAGAGCCCTATTTATACAAGAGGCAAGAACTACTAGGAACTAAGGGACATCTTCTAGAATGTTTCTAGAAGATGTCTCTTCATGAGCCTTCCATGAAGTTTCTAGATATCTTATAGAATCTTTCTAAAAAGGAGTATTCTAGAGACAAAAATAATTAGATAAAATATATAATTAAGGCGGGTCGTTACAGTAAGCTAGCTTATTTTTGGATCTTTTTTAAGTTCTTATGTTTGGCAAGCCAAAAAGTAGTTTATAAGCTAGCGTTTTGAAAAGCTACGTAGACTAGTTTTTTAAGAGTTGTTTTAAAATTTTCCAAATATACTCCTTAATTAATTATAGAAAACATATTTTTTAAATGTCATTTTATACCATTATATAAATTTCAGATAGCTTATCAGCTAGTGGCGAAGCCAGGGTCAAAGTAAAAAGGTATCCCCGACAAGTAAAGGGGTATCCCCGACAAGTAAAGGGTATCCCCGACGGATCTTGTATCTCTAATCACTTTTAGAAGGGTTAATGACGTAGGATGGTAATAAGGTTTCAAATTTGTCCACATTAGGTCCTTAAGGTATTTTTTTGTACATATTACACCAACATGGTTGTTACAACCGTTTAAATTTCGCCCATTTAACGTTTAAAGGGACGACATTTAAACAGTTGTAACAACCATGTTGGTGTAATATATACAAAAAAAAGACCTTAAAGACCTAATATGGACAAATTTGAAACCTTATTATCCTACTATGTCATTAACTCCTAATTATTTCTTAAGAGTGTCGGCTCCATGTCACACTTGTCTTATCTAGTATGGTCCAACGGGTACAGTCTTTTTCATATGCCTCTTTTTTTCTAACTTATTTATTTGGCTTACATCACGTTGTTTAAAAGTCAAAACTTATCAATGCGGCATGAGTGACTTGCACTAAATGAATACATGAATTTGATAGCATAATATAAACTATATCTAGTTTGGTTATAAATTCATTAATTATTGTAGTTGTTGACATGTAAAAAAATTAGAAAGGTTATTGGTATGTGAGATTAACTAACTATAGCCGTCGAGTTTGTGGATTTGTCACAAAATAAAGACTAAAACTTTCGTATAATCATTCACCTTGACATGATTTTGTATGCATTTCTTTTCCAAATATAATTGTTATCTTGAAAGAAAACTATAGAAATTAACAAGTAATTTCTTTCTACCAAAAACATTTAGTTTTGATCATATATATCTTATTATATAAAAGTAACTTGCCTTGCGTTTGTGTACACAAGATTATTTCAAGTATATGGAACATATTTTAATATCAAAGAAGTAGGTAGAAGTCTACATGATCATTAGATTTAACTTCATTACAAGTCCTCCTCGCCTGGGATTAAATCCATGATGTCTTTCTAATACATCATGTCTTTCTAAGCATTTATTATTGATCATGGTTATTCTCAATCAAATTCAAGGATCTTCATCGCCTTCCCCAACCAAGTATGATGTTTTTCTAAGTTTCAGAGGTGTTGACACTCGCAATAGTTTCATTGATCACCTTCACAAGGCATTGTTGGATGCCAATATCAATACCTTTTTAGATGAACAAGAGATCCAAACAGGAGAAGATCTTAAGCCAGAGTTGGAGAGCGCAATCAAAGCTTCCAGGGCCTCCATTATTGTGCTGTCCAAGAATTATGCTTCTTCAACATGGTGCCTTGATGAACTGGTATTGATCCTTGAGCTACGTAGGAACTATAAACATATTGTTATCCCGATCTTCTACCATGTGGAGCCCACAGATGTTAGGAAGCAACAAAGTAGCTTTGGAGATGCTATGGCTAAGCATAAACACAGGATGGAAGCAGAAACAGATGTGCAGAAGAGAAATCAACAGGCACATAAGATGGAGTTATGGAAGCAAGCCCTTATGGAAGTTGTTGATTTGAAAGGAATGGATGCAAACGGCTGGTAATTAATCAATCTTGCTAATATTTCCACAAGTTTTCCATCACTTTTGTTTAATTAATATCATCTTTTTGACATTTCTTGTGTTAAAGGCTACTTAAAAAAAGTTGATGTCGCTGTTAACCAACCAACTATTTTGTTTTATCATCACTAAGCTTTTTATGTTGGGTAGTCTAGGTCCTTAAACTTTTTAAAGATATATCAAAAGTTAATATCATTCCATAATTGAAGGGGGTCATTCAGTACGTTTTGGTCAACAGAACTTGCTCATGTGGCGCTTATATAACATGTACATCACTTTTATTTTTTATGAGGTTAACATTGTTTTTAAAATCGTCAAATCACCAACAAACGGATTTTATTGCATAAAATAGAAACAATTATTTTTTTTTGTTTGACAAAATTGCAAAAATGGTCCCTATGTATTTTTTTGGGGTTTTAGTTCAAACCCTGACTTTTTTGGATTAGTGGTCCTTTTGAGCTACTTTTATTGCGGATTTTGCCCCTCAGTAAACTGAAATGACTTTAATACCCTTGGTATTTATTTTCTATTTTTAAAATCATTTTTTTAATGTTTAATAATTATTTATTATGTTTAATAGGACCCACCTCTCTCTCTCTCTCTTTCTCTTTCTCTCTCTCTGTCTCTCTCTCCAGAAAAAGAAACACACCCAATTCCCCTAACCCCATCTTTTTCTTTTCAACAAAAAGAAAATCAAGATTGATGATTGTTTATCAGACTCATTCTCACCTCTCTATCAATTTTTTGGGTTTTAATTTCTTGGTGGGTGTTTGGCTTCTGAGAAATATTGGTTGTGTTTTTCTGAATGTTTTTGTGTGTACCTACATCTGTGTATTTGGTCTCCGATTTGGCCCTCTCATTCTCGATTCCGTTCCAGGTACATTGGATGGACTTTAATTTGTTGGTTTGAAGTTGTTTTTGTATATAATGTTGTTTATTGGAAAATCTTGGTAGTGATTCCAACAACTGTCAAATGGTGGAGCTTGTGAAAGACCTAAGAGCCGACACAAATGAAGGAGGTGGCGGCTACTGTGATTTACCTCGGTGGAAAGAAGCAAGGCAATCGAAGTAGTGGGTCACGACAAGGGGAGGGAGGAGTGGGCTGAGAACGACGGTGACAGTCGGTGCTGCTCGCTCCAGCGACTCCCGCTACTTCTGTTTATTTCTTCAGGCGAGGTCGACGTGTGAGAGACGAGGGGAAGAAGGAGTAAGGAGCGGGAATGTTTGGAGGATGTTTGGGGCTGCTATACTCGACAAAATAAACATGGTGGTGGTGGGTTTTTACCAAGGCAGCAGGGAGTGGCGGAGGGAGCTGCTCCGGTGGCCGGCATCGGTGGTTCTTAGTTGTAAGGCCGGACGGAGTGGAGCGGGAAGGATGTGCGGGAGCCATTCCCGCTCGGAGGAACACCGCACCGGCGGTGTGAGATAGGAGGCGCGGGGAGGAGGTGGGGGGAGGGGTTCCCGCTCTCTCTCTCTCTCTTCTTGTTAGTGGCTGGAATTTGTTTTTTGTTTTTTGTTTTTTTTTGTTTTTTTTGTTTTTTTTTAGTTTGCAGGTTTTAACGAGGAAGAAGGAAGAAGATGAGAAGTTTTTGGAAATGGCATATTTGGCCCCTATGTTTTGGTCTTATGGCAGAATACACCCAGCTCTAAATTCTCTTCACAAAAATAGTTTTCGAAAATTACAAAATAGACACTATACTTTTATATTCCAATTATCATTAAAATCAATAAATTATATATTTTAAAAAAATAGTGAGGGAAGCTCTTCCCACCCATTCCTTGGGTTTTAGGTGAGGGAAAGGAAAGTGAGGGAAATGGTGGTATGGCCCACAAAAAATGAGGGAAGCTTCCCTCCCACTCCCTCCGGTCTAAGTGAAGAAGAAGGAAGGAGAAGGTTGGTTTGGAGAGAGAGAGAGAGAGAGAGAGAGAGAGAGAGAGAGAGAGAGAGGTGGGTCCTCTTATTTTTTTATTGTTTAAATAAATCAATAATTATTAGATTTAAGAAAAATGAAAGAAAAATAGAAAATAAATACCCCAAGGGTATTAAAGTCATTTTTATTTACCGAGGGACCAAATCCGCAACGAAACTAGCTTAAAATGACCACTAATCCAAAAAAATCAGAGTTTAGACTAAAACCCCCAAAAAATGCATACCATAGGGACCATTTTTGCAATTTTGTCTTTTTGTTTTTACCTTGCTTGAAAAGGCCATTTTACAATTTTATATTTTTTATCCAAGTGTTAAATTTTGTTATGTTTTTAGTCCAAACATTTATTTTTTTACAAATTCTGCTGAAAATTAGTTTTTCTGTACAAATTAACTTTTAAAAGACTTTTTTACAACTTTTATTGAACTTTTTATAAACAAAAATTTACAAATTTTTGTCCAACCTTTTCTTCTCCTTTGGCAATTTTTTAGCCCATTGTAACCTCTTCCATTGCTGATTTTACAAAGATTAATATCACAAAGTCTGATACATACTTCTGTACATTTGTTAATTTTATTCGATGCGGAGCTGGCATAATCTTTGGGAGTGTACTCAATGATTAGTTGGTCAAATAAAATATAAAGTTTTCTTGAAGTTGTTCTAATGTTGTCATTGCAATTACTATTTAGTCGAGAAACGGTGTTCATTCAAGAAATTGTCATGAACATGAGCAGTAAATTAGATCAATGCATACGTGGTAAAACCCCACACATAATTGGGATGCACTCATCAGTTAACACCATCACATCATGGCTAAAAGATAAATCCTCTGATACAGCTGCCATTCTCACAATATGGGGAATGGCTGGGATTGGAAAGACATCACTGGCCAGATATGTCTATGAACTGCATTATAATGATTTTGAAAGAAGCAGCTTTATTGAAGATATTGGAAGGAGATGTACACAACAAGTGAATACATTGTTTGATTTACAAAAACATCTACTTGTAGACATTCAGAAGGGAAATTTACAAAAACTACATGATGTTAATTGGTGCACCATTAAGATTGAGAATGCACTACTCCATAAACGAACTCTTCTTGTTCTTGATGGCATTGATAATTTCGAGCAGCTAGATGTGCTGGTTGGAACAAAAGGATTTCATCCTGGAAGCAAGATCATAATAACAACCATAAATGCATCGTTGACTGAAAAGAGTGGTTTATTTGGTAAGAATATATCATTCAAGCATATGAAGCACTTGCTTGAAGGATTGGATGAAACCGAATCACTACAACTTTTATGTTGTCATGCCTTTAAGTGCAATGACCCCAAGGAAGGATACCAAGAACTATCAAGAAAGGTTGTGAAACATTGTGGTGGACATCCCTTGGCACTTAAAGTTATAGGCAGTTCTTTACGCAATGAAGATGTAGTTGCATGGGAGGATGCCATAGAGTTTCTGGAGAAAGAACCAAATCCTGATATACAAAAGTTCCTTCAAATAAGTTATGATTCTTTAAGATCCGAAAACGAGAAGGAATTATTCAAGCATATTGCTTGTTTTTTCGTTGGAAAAGATAGAGAGTTCACTGAAACGATACTAAAGGAGTGTGGTATCAAGACAACGTCTGGGTTCTCAAAGCTCATTGATAGATGTCTTGTCACCGTTGGACGAAAAAATGAGTTAATGATGCACCAACTACTTCAAGATATGGGGAGGGACTTAGTTCGTCATGAATCTCCTAAAAAGCCATGGAAGCGTAGCCGATTATGGCATCATGATGAATCATATGATGTGTTGAACCAAGATAAGGTAATAGAGGAGATACATGTGTCCTTATTTGTTTATATGTAAATTATTTTGCATTATACGTATACATGAATTAATAAGTTAATTTGCTAATGTGTACATATTTATTTTCTTGTTAGGGTACAAATAAAATTCAAGGCCTTGTCCTTGCCAAGAAAGTGGTTGAGGATGATACTTTAGGTGGTACAAATACATTTGCCAAGAGACTTCCACAGATTCAGCGGCTTTGCAACTTTTTCTCAAAGATTTGGTGCTTATTTGTTTGGGTATTCTTATTGTGTTTCTCTCATCATCACAAAGTCGACTTAAGAACAATTGCACTTAGTAAAATGGATAAACTAAGACTCCTCCAACTCAACTATGTACAACTCCATGGGTCCTATAAACATTTTCCAAAAGGCTTAAGATGGTTGTCTATGCATGGATTCCCTTTGAGTTACATACCTTTTGACCTACAAATGGAGAAGATGGTTGCTCTTGATATGTCTTATAGCAATCTGCAACAACTTTGGAAGAAGCCAAAGGTATAAAACATCCAAAGCATTAATCTTTTAGTTTTCTCAAATGGCTAATATCTTTTAATTTTCTTCAAATGGCTAATATCTTTTAATTTAATGCTAAAATCAATAGTTGCTTCCATCATTGAAGATTTTAAATCTCAGTTTTTCCAAGATTGTGAGGATCGGTGACTTCTCATGGCTACCAGCACTTGAGAGATTGATACTAACAAGATGTGTAAGTCTGGTCGAGGTGTGTGAATCAATCGAGCTATGCAATAAACTTGTTCTCCTTGATCTGAGTTATTGCATTAAGCTCAAAAGGCTTCCAAGAAGCACGAGAAGGCTGAAAAACATTAGAATTCTATCAATAGGTGGTTGTACAAATCTTTGTGAATATCCATGCCATATGCAAGATATGAAGTCATTAGAAGTTTTGAATGCTAGAGAATTTGGCATATACTCGCAATCATCTCCGTATGCCATTGTGGATGTGATACAAAAAAGTTTAAAAGGCTTTTCACTTTCCGACTCCTTAGTAAGTATATCCCTTAAAAACAACAATTTATCCAACGAGTTATTCCCCATGGATTTTAGCAGCCTGTCAACGTTGAAGGTGTTAAATTTGAGTTGGAATCCGCTAACTTCTTTGAATGTGAGAAACCTTAGTAGACTTGAAGTCCTCTGTTTGGAAGGCTGTCATTACCTAAAGTATGTATCATGTATCAGTATGATCGCATATATGAATATCCATGACTGCAGTTCACTAGAAAAATTAGAATATGAACCGGTGACAAAACCAAATATCAGCTCTTTATCATCTGTATCCATGGTTGAAATTGAAAGCATGCGGAAGGTACAACCCCTAGCACAAGTGAATGAAAACATAATCCGTAATTTAGGCTGGAAGGATTTAGTACATGTGAAAAACCAAAAGGTGCATATTATAGATGGAATCAGATGGGATAGACCGCAGAAACTTCAAGTCCAGGTTCTTTTGTCTCCCTCCCTCTTCCTTCCTCTCTCTCTCTCTCTCTCTCTCTCTCTCCCTCTCTCTCTTTGACACACACACACACACACATACATACATACATATATACATACATACATACATACATACATACATACATGGATCTTAAGCTAATGATGATCTAGAGAGTAGAGACATGAAATTAACTTGGTTTATATTAATTAGACTTCTTGATTTTGCAGATGCTATATGAGCTTGGAATATTTAGCATATTGTTCCAGCAAAGAGAGATTCCAGAATGGTTCAGTCAAAGTCAAAGAAGCAAGGGATCATCAATAACATTTATTGTGCCTTCATCTCCTTACAATCTTAGGGGATTAAATGTAAGCTATGTATATACATACTTGCAATATGGTGAATGGGTCGATATATTTCGTAATAAAACAAAGAACCTCCACCGGAGATATTGTCCTAGTTTACAAGTGGTCAGAGTAGACGATGATGAAGAAAGCATAGTATGCATAAGACATTGGGTGATTGCTAATAATGAGATAGAAGAGGGCGACGAGGTTACTATTGACATTGCACTTCCTAAGGGGAATGGTGTAATGGTAACTGAATGTGGTATAAATCTTGTGTACGATAACAAAGATGATGGTGATAACTCTTTGGCTGTTTACCAGTCATGGAAATAAAATATTTGTGCATATCAACAACACTTTTTGTTAATGATGGAAACAATATCACGGATATACAGTCCAATAAAACTCACAAACAGCCCAATGAGTCCAATACACCAGCAGCCCAATGAGTCTATACAACACGTTTACAATTAGTTTATTTACTCTTGTATATGTATATTCAAATGTATAGTCAAGCAGATCCTAGAATAGCTCCTGTAGAATAGCTCTTATCAGTTCTGTAATTAGCTTATATAAGGCATGTATATCATTGAATACAATTATCAATTTCAATCATATTTATCCCTGCTCTATATGGTATCAGAGCTTCGACAGCTGCTCTTGATGTGTCGACAGCTTCGACAGCCCCTCTGAGTTTCTTTTCTTCGATCCTAACCTAATCCAAAGCATCATGACTATCATCGATGTCAACACACATACCCACTTTCCAATCAAACTTACAACAAACAATTTCCCAGTATGGAGAAAACAAATCGTCGCAACCCTAACTGGCTTAGGACTTGACAGCTGCGTTACAGGATCAACTGAAGCCCCATCCAAATTCTTACCTACTGATGCAACAAAACCAAATCCAACATATCGACCCTGGTTTCTTCAGGATCAAATCATCCTTGGTGCTCTAATTGGAAGTTGCTCTGACACTATTCAGCCGATTGTCTCTTCTGTCGACACATCAAGCCAAGCCTTCAAACGCCTCTCTGAAATCTATGCTAGTGTCTCTAGATCACGCATAATTTCACTGAAGTCAAGGCTTGCTAACAACCCCAAAGGTACACGATCAATCACTGAATTTCTCCATGACATGAAGAACATTGCAGACGATCTTGCTTTATCCCAAAGTCCTGTTGATGAAGAAGACCTCGTAGTTCATATACTGGGGCAAGTAGGAGAAGAGTATTCTCACATCTCTTCTGCACTCAAGATTCGAGAAACTCCAATTACATTCCCAGACCTCTTTGACAAGTTACTTGACTATGAACGCACCTTAAAAGAGACTCAACCAGCATCTGTCATTGCCACTGTTAACAGCACCCAAAAATACACAAATCGGTACTATCAAAAATCAAACTATGACAACCGCAACTCTCAAAGGTTCAACCACAACGACAGTTCAGGTACCAGATCCTTCCGGTCTTCTGGGCAGTACAATGGAGGTAACAATTCTCAAAAAGGAAATCGTAATTCTAGCTATTGTCAATATTGCAACATTCCTGGACACGAAACTAAAGACTGCAGGAAACTTGCACGATTTCTCAAAGACAACAACATCACTATCTCTATGACTACTTCAACAAATCCAATGGTGAACACTACCTCAGCAGGTCCGATCTCCTCCAATCCACCATGGATGTTCGACAGTGGAGCGTCTCACCATGTTGCCTCTACTCCTATGTCTTTTCACACCCTCTCAGAATATGGAAGACCTGATGAAATTGTGTTAGGAAATGATACAAATCTTTCTATTTCTTACACCGGTCACTCCACTCGTCCCACTACATCTCGTCCTCTAAACTTACACAATATCTTATTTGTTCCTAAATTACGAAACAATCTCATCTCTGTGGCTAAACTATGCAAGTCTAACCAAGTTTCTGTTGAATTTTTCCCATATTTCTTTCTGGTCAAGGATCTACGCACCGGCAAAATTCTCATGCTGGGAGTGAACATCAATGATATATACTATGCATCCATTTGTTCTCTCCAACAGCTTCCCAGAATAAATTCAACAGTCACTTCTCAACAATCCACAAGTTCCTGGCACCACAAGCTTGGCCATCCGTCTCTCAAAATTTTTAAGTTTCTTCTAGGTCGTTTAGGGTCATCTTGTAATAAAATCTCACCTGTTTCATTTCACTATGCTTCATGTTCTATCAATAAAAGTCACAAATTGCCTTTTGGACCCAACTCTTTTACAACATCTAAACCATTACAACTTGTCTACTCAGATGTGTGGGGACCTGTTCAACTTTCCAATGATAATTATGCTTATTATGTGACATTTGTTGACTTTTATTCAATATACACTTGGTCGTACCCAATGAAACGAAAGTCTGATATTTCCATTCTGTTTCCACAATTCCGAAATCTAGCTGAAAAATACTATAATACCCCTCTGTTTCCCTGTTCACAGACAACGGAGGTGAATTCATTAAATTAGCCTCCTATCTTAACCAACATGGCATATCCCATTTCACCACACCACTACATACTCCTGAGCAAAATGGTATAGCCGAAAGGCGCCACCGCCATATAGTGGAAACATGACTATCCTTCCTTCATCATGCTAATCTACCTCTCACTTTTTGGAGCCATGCCTTCCAAACCGCTGTCTACCTATCAACCGACTTCCCACACCCATCCTACACTATCAATCTTCATACGAAAAACTGCACAACACATCACCCTCTTACCACAAACTAAAACCTTTTGGCTGCCTCTGTTACCCATGGTTACGACCCTATTCCTCATCTAAACTCCATCCAAGATCTGCCAAATTCATTTTTCTTGGTTACTCCCCATCAAAATCAGCATATAAATGCTATGATCCCACTACTCAAAAGCTATACCACTCTCGCCATGTTGAATTCATCAAGCATATTTACCCCTATCATACCGAATCCTCTACACCTCCTACAGTAGACTCATTCTATCCTGTTTTATCCAACACTGATCCAACACCCGGTACACAATCCTCTATCAATTACACCACTTCTCAGACCTTCACTAACCTCTCCTGTCACATCGCTGCAACCACCACCTTCCCCCCCCCCCACCCCCCTTCGCCATCACCTACACACTCACCTCAACCCTCATCACCAAGAGCAGAACCTATCTCCTCTCATCCACAACGAAACAGAAAATGCAACCCCAAATATTTCAATGAGAACCTCATTAACAATACTACTCTCCACCCCATACCTTCTACTCTTGAACCCACCACTCATAATCAAGCTCTTAAAGATCCAAAGTGGAGAAGTGCCATGGAATCTGTAATTCAATGCCCTCCTGTCATAACTGGCATTTTTCTAGGAAATTCTATTCTCATATAATCATCGTCCATTGTAAAAACTTGTACTCTAAATGAATATCATACTCTATGCTCACTCAATACACCTCTTATAGTTAATTATGTGTTGAAAACACTAGAAATTTCGGTTCAAGTTTATTATGGACTAGGAATCCTTTATTGGGCCTAATGGACCAATAAAACTTCCACTTGACTACTTTGGGCCTAGGAACCCTAATTGGGTTCTAAATGGACCACATTCATAAAACTTTAGCATTATGGGCCATGTGGGCCTAAAATAATCCATTTTTATCTCTAATAGGTCTTGTTAGGCCATAAACGGTTTCATTTGCCCTAATGGGCCGTGGACCTTCATAAAGGACCAATGGGCCGAAAAATATTGTTGGACTTCTAAAAATTTGAGCAAGGCCAAGATTGGGCCCAAATCATTTTATTCTTACTTCTCTAGCCCAAAATCTCGGCCCAATAAAGATATTTATACATATTTGTGTAAAAAAAAGAGAATGGAGGATTTATTTGGCATTGACACCTCATGTTTGCATGGTGGGTATCCATGAAAACATCACCTCAAACTATCTCTCTTCTCTCTTCTTATCATCCTTGGTTGAACCCTCCTTCATCACCATCTCTATCTCTTTCAAAATCTCTCAAGAACACCTCCTTCTCCCACCAAAATTTTCGAGATTTGTGTGTATTTTCAAGAGGATTTTTCACCAACATCATCCTTGCTAAGTTTTTGCTTAGATCCATGGTTTAGCTTCTTGATTTCTTCAAAATCTCCTCTTAACTCATACCATTTCGTGAATCATGCATCTTAGAGCCATCTAAGTTCTAAAGTTCTCCAAGAAGCTTGCTAGGACCAAAATCTCTCCACATCTTCATCAAAAACCAAATCCAAACCCCAAGGTGAGTTCATACCCCCTATTTTCGATTTTTACTTGGTTTTGGGGGAGAATACAAGTTGCTTTATGTAGATCTATGTGTATATGCATGAATATGTGTGTTCTTCATGACTTATTTGGTGATTATGTGCCACTTACTTCATAAATCTAAAAATATGTTAAGAATATTAAGTTTATCATTTGGATCTACATGAAAACCTTGAGAAAAGTATGTTTTATCACATATAATACATGTAAACTAGCAGATCTGGGATTTATACACTTAAAATAGCAAAAATGAGGGTTGTGTTCAAAGATCTATAAACTAAACTCAAAATTCAGCCCTTGACAGAAAAGTTTTGGTCCAATCTCGAACTGTTTTGGCCATCTTAATGATAATATTTTTAAAAACTGTTTTACATGCAAAAAGCTCAAGTTTATACCTTTAAAATGACTACTCTCACGTTTTCATACGATTTTTCTACAATTTTTGGTGAATTTTACAAAACTGCCTATCAGATTTGAAATAATTTCGGACCAGCCTGTGAAGGTGAGCAATTTCACACTTGTTAGAGACCATTAAAAATTATGAGAAACTTTTTTAACAAAGTAGACAAAATTTCCAAACTTCCAGAATTTACGG